TTTTCAAAGAAAGGCTATTGAAAGGTCAAATTTCATGGTGACCGATATCAGACAGTGATGAACGAATGAAAAACTAGATTTTCTTTTATAGAATATTTTCTCTCTCTCTCTCTACTAAACGGTTACACGATTTCTCTTTTAGATTTTTGATGTATACTAACTGTGCATGGGCAATACAGGAACATGATCACGTTCGAATTGGTTAATCAATTTCTCTGCTTGTTCAAAGGCAGCTGCACGACTAAAACAATCAACCTAATCAAAACATACACAGCTAATACCTTAAAATTTAAAAAACAAAAAAAAAAAAAAAAAAAAAGATGATATTTTATATACCATGGTTGTGTATATTATAGGTGATTTGATTTGAATAGTATTGAAGATTGAACGAGCTACATCAACTAATCCAGAATGTGAACATGCATTTAAAACGCACACATAAGTGAAATCATTGATAAGACTTGTTGGCATTTGTCGAAAAAGTTCTACTGCTTCATTACCCATACCGTTTAAACCATAACAATTAACTAATCAACAAATAATTAATTTCTTTTTTAAAATAATAGATAAAAATAAAAACGAACTCATTGCTGTATATCCAATCTGATCAGGTTGAGACATATTTTTAAAAATACGTTTTGCTTCATCAACATATGCACTTTTTCCCTAAATGAGAATGACTGTCAACTAATGAAATTTGATTCATCTCTAAATTAAATTTCATATGTTTTTGAATAGTCAATATGAATATCAAAAATGCATAATATATAGATTTACTTAGGTTGTTATATTAATTTTAAATATTTAAGTTTTTTTTAAAATAAACAATCGAACTATTGATATCAATAATGGTCAACTATGATAATATTTGTCTCTCTCCAACATGATACATTTAATCATGTTGAAATCATAAAGTTAAATTGATTTAATACTTGTATAACTGTACACATAAATAGACAATATTATATTCAAAACAAATAAATATTATTTCATAATCGTTTTTGGAAAAACAAATTGGTTCTAATTTATGATATGACTTAGATAAAAAAAAAAGTGTAATAAATGAAAGAAAAATGTTTTCAAATAAATATTATTTATCATAATCTTATACAAGAGAGATAACATCTGGTTTTAAATCGATTATCTTCAACCAATATGAAAATAAACTGATTAATTTAAATAGTAATTCTTATTCCCGATATTTATATTTACTATTGAAAAAATATCAAATTTAAGTTTGAGACACGTCGAATTTCATTAATTAAAAATCGTTCTCAATTGTTTTTTAAAAAGACAAATGCACATAAAGCAAATGTTCTTGAACATACCCACATATCATTTAATGCATTTTGAATTTGACGATGAGTTAAATAAGAAGTTGGAATTCGTTGAGCAATCGATTGAGATGTAGACAATATAGCAATTTGTGCTAATGCTTTAATCAGACAGAGATATATAATAACATTTTGTTCAAAATAATCAATTCCTTTTTTAGAATATAAATGATTATTTTCTGTATAAAACTGATCATGATGAATCTGATTAAACGTTTCAACTGTTTCAGTTGCCATGTTATTTATATTAACCCTTTCGGGACCGGTGACGCTTTAAAGCGTCATTGAAATTTTACATGATCTGACGCAAGTGAATTTGGATTTTTTTCTGGGTCTTTTCGAAGTAAATGTTGCGGTTGCTTTATT